AGATGGAAGAAGCTCCTGGTTCCCAGTAACAGCTCAGCTCAGTGCTGGCTGTTGCGGTCATCTGGGGAGTGAAACATCAGATGAGAAAACCCTTCTCGCTCCTTCTTCCTCTGTAAAACCTGCCTTTCAAATAAAAATAAATAAACCTTTTATAAATGCAAAAATAAATAAAGAGTAAAGACAGTATCATTTTACACATTTCCTATTAAGATTTAATATACTGAAATGACAACTTATGGTGCTTCTATTCTTGGAGGCGTTGATGAGATTGCCATGTTTATTTTCTCAACTTCCTAACTGTGGTCACACCAGCCCTGACAGGTGACCTGGGATCTGCAGGCCGCTCTGCTTCCCAGGGGCTCTGGCAGCCGCACTGCCTCCTCTCCCAGCAGCAGCCAGGCGCCAGGATGGCCACTGTGCCTACAGTCCTGCTCCCATGGCTTCAGCTCTACTCCTCGCCCCCTCCCCACAGGGGAAGTCAGGAACCCAGGAGCAGCCCACATGACACCCACTGGGCATCGAGGGAGGGGCAGTGACATCCCACTTGCACCTTTCTTTACAAAGCCTATATCTAGAAACTGCTGGCTAGGTGTCAGCTAAACCTAATATAGTATTTCCCCGGAAGTGAAGCGTTTCTTGGTGAAGGATCCACTGTGAGCATTGTTAGGCTGTGCTGCTCCGTGGGGTTGCAGCTTATTTTCCAGTTTGATTCAGACTCCCTGAGAAATGGCCCCTTCCATGCACCTGTCCTAATGAAGAACCTCAGTATCAAAATCCCAACCATTTGCTCATGGCTCATTGCTATTAAGAAACTGTGCGTTTGCAGGCCAAACAGCCTATGTGACCTTTAGCACTGATGGGCCCCAATTCTTATGAATCAAGGCCCACCTAAGTCTGGTTATCTCATAGGTGGCTGGCTCCAAGTAATTAAGTGGGCGCTTCCCTTAGTTGCTGGAGGCAGGGGCTGTCCAGCCGAGGTAGGTAGGGAATGTGTGGTATTTCCCCTCACCTTGCAGGCTATTGTGAATTGCCCCTTTTCAAGCTATTGTGGACTGTCCCTATAAAAACCCTATGAATGTGCTGTTCGGGGACACACTCCGGTAAGGGGTGTAGGTCACTGGCTGGTCAGTCAGCCAGCTGCCTGCTCTCAACCAAGAACCCAGGCTCGGATGTGCCGAGCTTGATAAACCATCCTTGTGCATTTGGATCGACTTCAGACTCCTAGTGATTTCTGGGGATCTCAAAATCTAGGCTTACCACTTTGAGGTATGCAGAAACCCAGGCCATGGCAGCTGGCAAAAACCCAGGCCAGCTGCTCTGCAAGGGCAGAGATGATCCTAGCCCCCATAGGACCACAATCCACTTGCATAACTTGAGGTCCTCCAGCGGGAGCACAGAGATTCCAAGACATGCACAAGAACAGACAACGTGTGCAGCCTCACTCTGACGCACACCTGCCTGGGCACAGCTGAGGCCACAACTCTTTCCCTACTTCAGGCCCTAGATCCTCCCAGGGTGTGTCATTTCCAATGTACAAAATTCTGGGGCACCAAACCCAGGGGAGAATTTTGTTAGGTGACCTGTGGAAGCATCCTGCTAGTCTTCCTTATCAGCCACGTCCAGGTGAAGCTTGACGCCTGATATCAGAAGGGGGTCATTTCTGCTGAAAGCGAGAATGGAACAGAAAGGGCAATGGGTCACCATCCTCACTGATTCCCCTCTTCTGTCCCCAGCTGTCACTGACAGGCACCAATTTAGAGGGTTTCAAAATTTTAAATTTGTTATTTGATTTTTCTCTCTTTCTTTCTATCTGACAAATGCAGCCTGTTTATTACAATCAAGACAAGGACTTCTTGGGCACAGCACGATAGCTCAGTGCCTAAATCCTTGCCTTACACACGTTCAAATCACATGTGGACGCTCGTTCGTGTCCCAGCTGCTCCACTTCCCTTCGAAATCCCTGCTTGTGGCCTGAGGAAGCAGTGGAGGATGGTCCAAAGCCTTGGGACCCTGCACCCTTGTGGGAGACCCAGAAGCTCCTGGCTCCTGGCTTCAGACTATCTCAGCTCCAGTCATTATGACTGCTTAGAGAATTAACTAGTGGCCGGAAGATCTTTCTCTCTCTAAATCTGTCTTTCCGACAAAAATAAGTAGATCCTAAAAAAGCGAAAACAAAAACAAAACTCACTCACACAAGGCTGTTCTCCCACACGTGCCGAGTGCTGCTTCTCTGTCAGGAGCAAGTCACTTACTGAAAATCATTCCCAAGAAGAAGCGAAAATGCCACCAGTTTGCAAACATAACAGGTGATCCCAATGACAGATACAAAAGACAAGTTTCAAGCATTGTTCTAGATGACCGGGCAAACTGAACGCAGGAGGAAAGGTCCAGCGCTGACTCATGCTCTGGGGGCCCAATGCCTGCTCACGCTCCTGTTTGAATAAATAAATAACAAATAATTTTGGATTTGTTTTTATTATAAATCTTAGGGCCAGTGTGGTAGCTCTACAGGCAAGTCCTCTGACTGTGGGTGCTGGTTCTAGTAATGGCTGCTCTGCTTCCCATCCAGCTCCCTGCTGTGGCCTGGAAAAGCAGTGGTGGATGGCCCAAAGCCTTGGGACCCTGCACCCACATGAGAGACCTGGAAGAAGCTCTTGGGTCCTGGCTTCAAATCAGCTCTGGATGTTGCGGCCATTTAGGGAGTAAACTGGTGGATGGAAGCTCTGCTTCTCCTCTCTATAAATCTGTCTTTCAAATAAGTAAATCTTTATTTGAAAAAAAAAAATGTTGTAAACGAAGCTTTTAAAAATCAGGAAGGACTGGAAATATTTGAAGAATAAAGTTCACGCACTTGCTTCCCAGTGCCCTGGAGAATACTGCCAAGAGCCAGTGGTGGCGGGGGGGGGAGGGGTGTGTGTTCTTGCCAAGCCCGCAGAAAGCTGCCCATGTGATGGCAAGCCCTGGCCATGCACAGGGTGTTTGCCCATCAGCTGTCTTCTCCGACCACAAGACAAACAGCTAGATTTGAGTGACAGCAGGAAAGGGCCTCGTTCTTCTGCAGGACAGGATAGTTTAGCTTTATGTAATCTGTGAATCGAAAAGAAGAAAATTTACAAATACCTACAGTAGAATGAAGATAAAAATATTTACCAATAAGTACTACCAGTCAGTTTATGGGCTGTCAAGAAGAAATGTTACACCTTGAACACTTCCATCGGGGACGAGCAGACTCTGGGCTTCAGTGACCTACTTCCAAAGTCAGGACAAGATTTGAATCAACTCAAAGAAAGCAAAGGAAAGGAGAGAGACTCCAAATGGGAGATAGAGAAGAGCTGGTGATGCAGCACTGAGAGTTAAACCAATGCTACGACCCCAACATCCTAAATGGGAGCGCCGGGCCGGGTCCCGGCTGCCCTGCTTCTGATCCAGTTTCCTGCCAACGCTCCTGGGAAGTCACACTAGAGCAGCCCAAACACTTGGAGACTAGCCTACCTCATGGGGACGTGGGTGGTGTCCCTGGCTCCCGAGTGTGGCCCGGCCCAGGCCTGGCTGGTATACGTTATTTGGAGACACCCTGTAGTTGTCTCTTTTTTTCTTGCTCTTCCTTTCAGATGAATGAATGAACAACTCTTTAAAAGAAATAGAAAAAAGTGGTGGGCAGTTGGTCTGGTGGTTCTGGATTGGTTGGGAAGCCGGTGCTCCATATTACAGTGCCCTGGGACAGTGCCAGCTGTGCCTCTGATTGGCACATCCCGGGCAGCCACAGTGACGGCTCAAGGACTGGGCCTCCTGTCTCTCGATTAAGCCTGGCCCCAGGCCACTGCTGTGGCAGCAATGGAGAGTGAGCCAGAACACGGGCATTCTCTTTTCCTCTTTGTCTCTCTGCCTTTCTAAATAAAAGCAAATTTTAAAAAAAGAGAAAGGAAGGAATGAAAGAAAAAGAAATTCACACTTCCTAAGAAAAGATTTTTTTTAAGCATTTGGGTCAACTAATTTATAGCATGAAAAATAGAACTTTTAGGTGTGCAAGTATAATGAACACATTGAAATTATTCAACACTAAGTGTTAAGGTGTTTGAAATGTAGAATATGATTATTTTTGAGTGACTTTTTCAATGTGCTAATAATAGTAGTGTGCCCTATTTCTAATGAAATTAAATCCAGAAAATGAATCCATTGCCATTTGAAAAGTCTCAAGTGCCTGTTTTCAACTCTCAGCCATAACTTCCTATCAGACATTTTAATTTTAACATGGCCACTTAAAACACAGTTATTTTGTAAGTCAGGGCAGGCTCCGGGTGAAGCCAAGAATCCGGAGTGGAACCCACGCGTCCCACACGCGCACACGTAGAAGGAACCCAAGGACTTGAATCCTCAGCACTGCCAGGAAGCTGGAGTCAGAGCCAGGTTTTGAACCCAGGGACTTAAAAGTTAGGTCCAATGCTAACCCCTCCATTCTTATTTGAAAAAGCAAATAGAGGAAGTGAGGACTCTGCAGTGGAAGGAACACTCAAGGCTATGTCCTCTCGCCCTCCTTGTGACAAGACCTTGCATAGCTCCCGAAGCGAGGTTGCCCGCGGCACTGCCCTCCCGGCTCTCTTGGGAGCAGGTGCTAGTAGCCAAGTTGTATGAGGCTGGAAATCTCAGCGGATCCCTTGGGGGGCATGCAGACGGCACGGCTGGGGCACGACTGCCCCGACAGGCACACGAACGGCACAGCTGGGGCACAGCCACCCCGGCGGGTACACGGCTAGGGGATGGCTGCCTCTGGGGGCACGTGGATGGCACAGCAGGGGGACTGCTGCCTTGGAGGGCACGCGGATGGCACAAAACGGACACTTGAGCACATGAGGGAAAACAGACATCTTCTGGCACTTTCCTCCGTCCTCACCACGGGCTGTGCTCACAGCGACCTCAGCTCTTTCAAGCCCAGCAGCGGCTCTTTTAGAAGTCACATCCTTCTCAGATCCCAACTTAAATAAAGAGAGATTTGCCATTTGAAAATAACAACCAGGAGTTTATTCATGGATATGGTGAAATTCACCCACCGGAAGATGTGTAAAAAAAACTGCACGAAAGTAAAAATAAATAAAGCTGTTGCGAAGCAGCCTGGTTTACATGGTAGCTCCTCCCTCCCGACATAACACTTGGACAAGTGCCATCAGGGTTTTAAAGTGATTATTTATATTCAAATTACAGCTTTCCAACAAATCTAAGAAAAACAAACGGATTTGGTAAGAGGTTCGAAGCCTTCCACATTCGAGCTCGGTGTCCCCGGGGGCGGCCCTCGGCGGGCACAGCGATGACATACTCCTGCTTTCGCACAGAAGGCACTGTGATCCGAGCACGCCGGACACTCACCTGGCGTTGCGTCAGCTGTTCCACACCAGTGAACTCTTGGAAATGAAAAGTAATACGAAGTTCAGGACACAGTGCACTTTAATGACATACAGCATTTTAAAATCCTTCAGACAGCATCTGGGCAGTCTCTTAATGCAAGCCTGAATCTTCAAGCACATAAAATCTTTCTTTTTTTTTTATGCTTACATCACTGGAAAAAATACTCATTGCTAAACCCTGATATACATTCTTAGCCATTCTGCTCTTCTATCGCAGCCAGTGTTCATGAGGCAAACGTGACCCAGAGACTTTGTTCAAGTTCTCCTGTGAGGGCGTCGACACCCACGGTGGTCATTCTGTTTCTGTCTCCTTTTGTTCGGCACCTGTCAACAGACAGACAACCAGCGTTTGAATGCTTGTGCTGGCGGCAGGGCCCTCTCTGCCGGAGGTTGCTATGCCCAGCAACCTTGGGCAGGAGGCAGAGGCCCACTGCCATCGCCCATCTATCCTCCCCGGTGCTTTAATCAGTCTCATTCATGTTATCTTGTGATTCAAACTATTTCAGATTTACCACAAAAAAAGTATTCCATTCACAAAACTCGAGTTTTGTGTGCATTTCTGAGTGGAGAGGCAGAGTATCTCAGCTGAGAGTACTTAGTTAGCAAGATGTAAAAAGTGGCAAATTCCTATCTGGGTCAGCGGGGGGTGCAGCTATGCGCACACAGCAGCGTCCTGATGTTCCCAGCAGACACCAGACTACTGAGAGAACGGACAGCCTGTCCCAGGGAGAGGCCGACACTGCTTACCCACTGGACGCCCGGGGACGTGCAGGCTCGCTAGGACAGTCCAAGTCCGAACGTGAGCGACTGCTGACAATCTAATGAAGACGCACGCTGCACTCAGTGTCCTTTCAAAGGTCACCACTCTTTCACCAGAAATAATATTACATGTGGTCTTGAGGTTTACTTTATTGTGCCATTTTACTCACTGACTAGAGTTGCCACAACAATTGTACATATTTATGGGCTGCCAGGTGACATTTCTATGCATGGATAAGTTGCATGTTAAATAAATGTATCTATTTTCTCAAGAGCTTATCTCTATGCGATGAAAACACTCCCAGTCTTTTCTTCTAGCCTTTTTGGAATCTATAATGCATGCCCTTGAATCTAGATCCTCAACAGGGACTCATGGTCGCTACCATGTGAAAGAAGCACCTCTTACTGCTTAGCCCAGAAGCAGCGACCTGACAGGGCCATCCTGGGTCAAGTGTCTGTACAAACGGAACAGTTTTCACTCCTAATGTCTTGGGAGGGAGATGGGCCAGTATCACTCTGTCCATTCTATGCCCAAAGAAAGCGAGGCCGAGTGAGCTGAAGTCCTTCGGCCCACTGAGGCAGCTCTTGTGCAGGGCAAGCAGCATTTGCACTAATGGCGCTGTGCGCTCTGCGCCATCTCCCAGCATGCATCGGCCAGCTGGCTCCAGCTGCTATGTGGAGGCCTATCCTGACTCCTGCCAGCGTTCACCTGCCCTGCTGTTGTTAAGGGCACAGACCATTTCCCCCAACACTGAGTGCTAACTACACCATGTTCCAATAGGGAATTCCAGGCAGAATGCCTATTTTTGAGACGTGATTTGCACAAGCCATATGTACTTACTTTCTCTCCAGCTCAGAAACTGCTTTCTTCCCTGCACTAGGAGGGGCACAAGTTATTACTGGCTGAAGATTTTAAAGATCAAATCTGGAGGGAAACTTCAACTTATCCAATCTGCTCTGCTCATTCTTTCGCTTTGAGGCGAGAAGGTGTAGAGATCAGTCACCTGACTGGTTTACTCTGTTTGCAATGAGCTGGGCACAGGCACAGGTGAGCGCTGAAACACGGCTTGCCTGCTGGCTGAGCTGTGTGTCCTGGAGCAGGGCCAGCCACCCGGAAAGGGTTCCCACTGAAGCCCCATGTTCCAGGCTCACCTAGAGCAGAGCCCTTTTCTCATCTACACTGAGCTGCTGGGCGGTGCTTCCAGCTTGGGAATTTACAGGAATGTGATCAGCTGCTGCAGCTGCTACCCCTTCCGCTCAGTGCTGCCTGGGGGACTCCTCCACGGCTGCAGGTAGTTCTGCTGCGCATGTTCAACACCATACAGAGGTCCCGAGGGAACGGAACCCCGCACGTACCCATCCCTCCTCCAAAGGAACTTGGTTTTCTCCAGTTGTCGAATTTTGTGATGAATAACCTCACATTCACTTAGTTATGGATATTTTATGATTATGAAAATTACTGGGAATTTCAGGATCCCTAATAGCTGAAGCTTGAAAACCAGCAAACGAGAGCCCAGGTGTACAGTCTAATTCAGCAGGTGGTTCTGATGGAATAAATGGCGGGGGCGACAAGCTGTGGACAATGCCGATGCTGTTGGTCTGAGGCCACCTGTGAGAGCTGTGCAAGCATGTCACTCCCTTGGCAGTCTCATGTAGTAAGGTGGGTCCTTGCTGGTGGGGGACAGGGCTCCTTCAGGTTGGGTGTTTGTGGGTTACAGACTTATGGTGGTCTTAACTGAGCCTGGTGCATTTCCCAAGGAGAGAAGATCAATACTGGAGTCCAGGTATCACTTCATGTCTAACTCCAGAGGGTTCCAAGTGCTGGCCATGCCAAAGGCAGGGCAGCAGAGCAGCAGGAAAGGAAAAGAAGCAAGGGCTGGTGGCTTGGCTCCCCACAAGCTTGCCTCCTACCATTAAACACACGGCCGAGACGAGGGCCAGCACTGCCTTCCCTCCCGCTCTGCACTGCCTCATGGGGCCCTTGGGAGCCTGCTCATGTGATCCCAGCAGGAAGGAAGTCCACCCCCCTTCCATGCGACAGCTAATGTCACCTCCACAAGGAGTAATGAAGAAGAGCATTAGTATTTTGTTTTGTAGACTCAAAACAGTTCTAGGTTATTTTTAAGGGAAAGATGAAGCTCTCAATTGTCACAACCCCCAAAACTTCCCTTTGTATTTTCTCATTCCCAGTAGTTCTCAGAATACAGCAGAACTGAACTGGAGTGGAGACGGGCCTGAGCAATGTGGCATCGGGTTCTACCCAGTTCACTGCGGTACTGCTGGGCATGGGCAGGGAGGCTTCCAAGTTAGACCACTCAACCTCAGAGCAGAAGAGAGGGGAAACGGTTACCAGAGTCACACACACAGCCCGGATGAGGGCTACTCGGGCTGTGGCTGGGCTGGCTGGCTGGCCCCGCCCTCAGGGCAGCCTCTTACCTGCCGGGGTGAGGATGAGGGCCTGCAGAATGTCCGACAGGGAGATGATCCCCACGATGCTGTCTGCTTCGTTCACCACCACCAGCCGATGAACCTGGGCGCAAAAAGCAGGCTGCACCTTAGGGCCTACGTTAAGAAGATCCTGAGGTTTTAATCTCTTGAGAGCAAACAATGGGTTTTTAAAACAACACTGGAGGGGCTGGCGCAATGGCTCAACAAGCTAATCTTCAACCTGCAAGTACCAGCATCCCATATGGGTGCCACTTCATGTCCCAGCTGCTCCACTTCCCTGGTTGCCGCTTGTAGCCTGGGAAAGCAACAGATGATGGCTAGAGAGGCCTTGGACCCTGCACTGGTATGGGAGACCCACAGGAGGCTCCTGGCCTCAGCAGGCTCAGCTCCAGCTATTGTAGCCATTTGGAGTGAATCAACGCAGGAAAGACTTTTTCTCTGTTTCTCCTCTCTGTGGATCTGCCTTTCCAACAAAAATAAATCAATCTTAAAAAAAAAAAGCGGAAAAAAAGTCATTCGTGTGTTCAGACAATGACAACACGCTGCATGGACCATGTGGTTTCTGACTTTGCTCCTGGGAGTGGCCATCTGCTGGTGGTCTCTGACTGTGCTCCTGGCAGTGCAGTGCCCATCTGCTGGGTGGTATCTAACTGTGCTCCTGGCAGTGCCCATCTGCTGGTGGTCTCTGACTGTGCTCCCGGCAGCGCAGTGCCCATTTACTGGGTGGTCTCTGACTGTCCTCCTGGCAGTGCAGTGCCCATCTGCTGGGCGGTCTCTGAGAACTCTGAGCCAGCTGTGTCATGTTGAATTTTTACATTTGAGATTAGTGACCCAAAGCCCAGGGGGCACACTCTGGAGCTGTCTTCTCTTTGAGCAATATACCAATAATATTCCAGAGGACACACCATAATAAGGTGTAAACACAAGCTATTCCCTGCTGGCTGCTAGCAAGTCTTGTATACTGAGGGCACCTTGTGTGGAGGTAGCATGCTCATCGCAGGATAACGGGAGCACAGCCTGACCACTCTTACTCAACTGCTGCCCATGCAGGCCAGGAACAAGCCAGGTGTCAGCTGCCAACTTCACAGATCATTTTCACACCCTCATCACAGCCCTGAATGGAGCAAGGATGCAAGAAGGAGGCACAGGTGGAAATGCTGTTTTGATATTTTGTTTTTGGTGATACTTTTCATTTTATAGCTTGCTTTAGGATATAACAAACAAACAAAGCGATAATGTGATCACTATCCCGTCTACATAAGTTTCTCTTAAAAGTTTTCTCTAATACAATGTTTTAGATTCTTCAATAGCTCATGATCCAAATTTAATTATAAATATGAGTTAAAATGATGGCTCACATTTAGAATCAGAGAAGCCTTCACATTCTAGATCTTAAATGGTGCTTGGTAACTTAACGCAGGTGACCATCTGCCCTGGTGGTTAGGACGTCGGTGGGATGTCTGTAACGCTCAGAGTGCCGGGTTCAATTCCTGGCTCGCACTCTGGTTATCGCTCCAGCTGATGCAGACCTCAGAAGGCAGCAGGTATAGACTCCCTTGCTTGGGTTTTCTACTCACATGCCTGGGAGACACGCACTGAGCTCCTGGTATCTGCAGAGTGAACTGGTGGACGGATGGGAACTCTAACTCTGTATTTCTCTCTCTCTCAAATAGCAAGTCAACATTCAATAATAATTCAATCACCACTGGAACTACTGAAGGTCAAAGGGAATGGTCTCATGCTGAGACTTCAGCAAGTCCTGCTGGAGTGCAGTGACTGCACACGATCTGCCTTCGTCAGCTGCTGCTGAGTCCGATGCTACTCATGCTCCGTGTCCCGGGGAGCCTACAAGCCGGTGCTGTTTCCATCAGAGAGGTGAACTGACCCTCCCCGACAGACACTGACCACAGGGAAGCTGCTGAACTGACCCTCCCCGACGGACACTGATCACAGGGAAGCTGCTGAACTGACCCTCCCCGACGGACAATGACCACAGGGAAGCTGCTGAACTGACCCTCCCCGACGGACACTGACCACAGGGAAGCTGCTGAACTGACCCTCCCCGACGGACACTGATCACAGGGAAGCTGCTGAACTGATGCTCCCTGACGGACAGACACTGACCACAGCAAAACTAATAACTGGTTTTCACGTCCTTGTGAAGAATCATCTGGTAAAAGGATTTTAATAAGAAAATCAAGGTATCTGGCCTGCGATGCTTAATGGCATTTTTATTTTCCTCAGTAGCCTGTTCTGTATGACAATGCAGCTTTTACCATGCACCAGGGAGTTAATACAGACAATGGCCAAGAAAGGTGAAATTTTTTTTTAAGATTTACTTATGACTTATTTCAAAAACAGAGCATGAGAAAGAGAGACAATTTGATTAATTTGTTTTCTATGTTCTAGTTCAGACGAGATCGGGCGCGTTCAGGGTGGTATGGCCGTTCTAGTTCACACCCCAAACCACCACAATAGTGCAGTCTGGGCCAGGCCAAAGCCAGGAGCCTGGAAGTCCACCCTGGTCTACTGCATGAGTTGCAGGGGCCCAAACACTTAAGCTGTTTTGTTGCCTTGCAAGGGGCGGCAGCAGGAATGCTAGATTGGTAGCACAGTAGCTGGGACTTACAAATAGCACTCCAATATGGCTTGGTGGTGTTGTAAGCCACACCTCAATCCACTGGACCCGTAACTGTGACTCCGTAAGTCACTTTCTTTGTTGGTTGAACAGATCCTTATGCAATCAAAAAGTTGTGATTCTGACTATACTGGACAGGAAGGCTTGGAGGATCTTCCAGAATGCTGGCCCTTGATGTTGTATACCATTTTCCGTGTGATTTGCAGGAAGTCAGTTAAGGTCACCTGTTATTAGCCTAACAAATAATCAGGTACTTTGAATCTTGGATTGAACTCTTGTATTTATAACAGTAATAAAACAAACTTCTCACGAAATTGTGTTATCTAATTAGTAGCTGGTCCAGAAGGAACAGCGCTGAGTGACAAGCAGGACACTCCGACTCTAGTCTAACAAGGAAGGAATGCTTCTGGCAGTGTGCACACTGAATAAGACAGGTGACTTTTCTCACCTAACACTCCAGAGCTATACAAAGCGATGCCGGGAGTAAGGTAAAGGGCAATAACAATAAACTCTAGCTCCAGATCCTGACAGACTCCACTCTTACCCTCCAATTCTCTCTGAATAGAATCTCTGGAGAGGTGGACCAATGGTTGTAAAGAATGGCAAGTGTCACAAGGAATGAGCTTCTCCAGGGACCAACGCCTTTGCTGGGAAGGTTTGAGGATCCATCAGGATGTCAAGCCATCTCAGGAGCCTGGGGTTGGTTACTAAGCCTTGGACTATTATCTATATTAGGAAAGATATACGAGAGGGGGGGTGGTAGGTGGAGGAGAATATTACTTTGACTTAGAAAGTCTAGTTTTACTGATTAAGTGTTCATTTTGTTATAATCATGCACATTACACATTTAAATTTTGAATTAGTAAGTTCTGTAATGGAACTTGAAGCTCCCGGGCAACTTTCACCTTCTGAAGTACATTTAAACATTAAAATGTTTTTGGGAGGCAGAATGAGCAAGCTAGAGTGTGAGTATGGGCGGGAGTGTGCAAACATACATTCCTGTCTGTTGGCAACAAATGCTGGCAGCAGGCAGAGCTGGGCCAGGACAAGGCCCCTGGATGTCCCATGTGGGCAGCAGGGATACAAGTACTGAGCCATCACCACAGCTTCTCATGGGGAAGCTGGAGTGCTAACTGCCAGGCCCAATGCTGGCCCTTCTAAGTACACAGTTTTTAAACTATGACGCTATCCTACTAGTATATCTGAATCATCTATGATACCAGGACTAAAAGCACAATCAAGTGAACACACCTTTATAAATGACCCAAGTGTGCTAGCTTCTGGAGCAGAAGAGAAGGTGGGCTGCCTGACTTTGCAGGATGGCAGGCAGGCAGCCGGTGAGGCCCCCTTACCTCAGCTCTTACTATCCTGTCCACAATGGTCTCCAGTGTTTCCAGCTTATTGCACTTCACAACACCTTCAAAATACTGCGATCGGTGCTGCAGGGCCTGCGTCACTGTGATATCCAGGTTATTATATGTTTTTTCAGCAGCAAGATTCTGTAATAAAGTCACAGAATAAATTGTACTCTTTCATTTCAATTCTCATTAATGATCAAAATTAGCAAGTTTAAAAGCAACCTGATTTTTAAAAACTTCAATGTTAATGTGGTACCAATGTATATCAAAGTTCTCTTACACCTATCCGCATGCCATTAGCACTGTTATTTCATCAAATTATTGACATAGTTAAAAAATCTAATCCTATAAGACAGACCTTAATCATGAAGCAGTGCCGTCACATTCCGCTGAGACCTTTCTCCGCTCGTGCCCTCAGCCTCTATACTGTGTGGGAGTATAGCCTTCTGTGAAGGGTGACATGTGCCACAGGGCTAGGAAACCTGCGCTGATGGGCTCTCCCAGGGAGCTCCCCGGGGAACAGAGCTGCTTCTGGGAAGGTTGTGGGGGATTCAGCAGACCCATGGCCCATTCACAGTGCAGGAAAAGAACCGGCAAGTGCTACAGCACTCAACAGCTTCTCAGGGTTCCGATAGACTCCATCAAAAACTCCGCACAAACTTTGTGGTGTCTATTATATAACAACAACAAAACTAAGGGCTGAGACCACCGCAAAAAGACATTTAATGTGGGAGGATAATCCTGCAGCAAACAATGGTATGAACATCCGGGGATATCAAAGCATCTGTTTCCATTCTCAGAATGAGTCAAACTCTAAGCAAGCCCATTTACAAAGGGTGGGCGGGGGAAGGGCACCCAACGGAAAGGCACCACATCAACAGCCAACACAGCAGATCTAAATGAGGGGCTCAACTGAATCACCTCTTAACTCTTCTTAACATATAATGTTAATAAAATATTTGCTCCCTTTAGAACAGGGGTTTCCAGGCAGCAAGCAAAGGGGTATATGTAACAAGGGACCCAAACAGGATGCAGGTAAAATAGAGGAACTTTCACACAGAAATGTTGTAGTGATGGATACAACACACTGAAAAGACAGTCTTAAGATGCTATTAATGCGTAACTCCTTGCTAAACCAAGGAACGGTAACTCACGATTACTATAAAGAAGTCACAGAATTCTCTGATAAGATTCCAACACTCCAAATAGGAGTTATTAAATAAGAAATGAGCAGAAACATAAGAACAGATTTAAATGAGCATATTTTAAAATGAATCCTAAATGACAGGTTTAAAAACAATTAAAAATACTTACAATTACATCAAATTTGGAATAAATATCTACAACTTTTCCTAAAAATGAAAATATATGTTAGAAAAATATCTTAGGAACAAGAAAAAGAACTCATTTTAAATCAGTCTTAACTAGAAGATTCTTGAGGATTAAACACTGACAAATAAATTTGTTTTTAAATAGGGAATCAGATCTTACTGAAAATTTGAAAATAAGGTGGTTTAAAATCTCTAGGATGCTGAGTGCTCCTTGGAGCACCATGTATCTGCCAGCATGAAATCTTCATTCCTCCCTCTTAGCTGGCAGGCCGGGCATCTCACAGCCCTTTTAACCCAACTGTTCCTGTCCCACAGGAAGGCCAACACACAAACCTGACTCATCCACCACAGGCAGGGCTGACACTCGTCTTTCCACGAATATGTTCAAGGCCTTGATGATCGGAGTGTCTGGGTGTATGAAGGCAATGTTGTGGTACGTTCCTATTCCGAGCTCATCCAGGTTCTGCTTCATGAAGGCAGGCTTTGGCATATCAGACATCTAGGCAAGGAGATACATACAAATGTTGTAGAACAACGACAGACCCTTCGCTCAAACGTCCAATTTCAAAGAGAAACTATGTCCACCAAATCAGTCTTTTCTAACAGCCTATTGGGAAGCCTGAGTTCATACGAGAATGTTATATGTAAGGACAGAGAGCGTCTTTGGCCTGGCTGCACCTCTGCTAGCGGCCTACTGGTGATGAAATACAGCCAAGCGTTAACACTGCAACACGTTTTCCTCCTCCTTTCCACTCACTGAAGTAGAAAGAAGAGAGCTACCTGGTCTATTTGCGAACACAGGACCTGTGGGCCACCAGGAAGCCAATTAATTCTTCCTTAATTCCCCGTGGGAAGCTCCCGCCCCTGCCTGCAGTGTATCACAGCATTTATCAAGGAGCCACATGTTTCCAACCTCACGGCACATGACCGGGCTGGCTGAGCGCCACTAGGCTAGTCTGCACTCCATCCCACCTCCACACCCTGAATTCTCCTTGGAGGACTCCTATTTCTGTCTGCTCGGAACAAAGTACAAGCCAACCAAACCGAACGAACAGAACCTTTAACGAGTAACTTTTCTTTTCATGGGCCGTTTTCAAGCAGGAGGGGTAAGTCAGAAGAGAAAAGTGTAGGGTCATGTTTGACTATAACAAAATAAGGTCTACTGTTTCAAAATCCACCTTTTATAAAGGGTACAGTCGATTCCATCCTCCTGGTGTACCTTATAATTATCAGGAAAAGATGAACAATTAGAAGAAACAAAATGTTCAAGTCAAAGAGCTCATCAATATTCAAATCATGAGAATCCTAGAAATTTAGAGAAAAAAAAAGAAAGAAAGACCTATTAGAGGTCATCTAGTCCATGTCAATATAGGATCATTCCCTGTTCTATACTGTAGGCGCAGGCAAACTTTCAAATGTCTTGAAAGGTAATGCTACCTTTTCGCAGAAGTCATCATAATTCAAAAAATCAGGCTCTGAAATGCATTGCTTCAACTGTATTTTTTGTCTGACAACCTGTGGTGGAATATTCTAGTAGTAGGATTCTAATTACCATATTGACCCAAATATAAGGCAGTACCAGGACGGTACCATCGCTCTCTTTTTTAAAGAAGAGGAAGTTCTAAAGTAGCTTTGTAAAAGGACAGTCTCAAACGATATCTTCTGTGTGCTAGCACAAGTGGTCTTGCTTGGAAGTTGAGAGCCACTGGGTCTGAACCCTGTGTGGCTTAGGCCTGTTTCTGAGGCAGGTGCCTGTGTGCTGGAGGTGATACAGATGCTCACTTCCTGCAGCCAGAGTGTGTGTGTGTGAACACACAGATGAGGTCAAGACTGTGGCTGCACAATCAGAAAGCTTGATTCAGATCCTGGCTCCACCACTCACCAGACATAGAACCTGGGCAAAATTACTTCAACTTGTCTAGTTGTGTCCCCTCTACAACCTGATAGGGTAGTGGCAAGATTTATCAACGTAAACTGCCTGGGACAATGCTGGACACACGGTCATCACCAATGAGGACACATTAGTTTTCATGAAATGAATACATACCTTCACTCTGCCCCCTCCAGCTAAACCTCAACTGTTAATTAAGGCTACTGCACTCCAGACATAACATCTGATAAGCAATCAGTAAACAATACATCCCTAGTTGCTTTTTTCCTAGATTATGCATTTATTGAATATTTTGGTTTTATTTTTATATTTTTTGGAAATTGTCTATTTTCCTTCTTAATATTATTTGCACATGTAAACTACTAAAATACAGGACTGTTTGATCAAAGAGATATTTCCTTCAATCACTAAACCTATGTGCTTCTATCAACAAAAGTGGCGTTCTATGGGCTCAAGTCTAGACTTCAGGGCAGAATCCTAACTCTCAAAGGAGTTAGACTGGAAAGCTATTTTAGTTCCTTCAGGGAAGCTGTGGAGGAGAAAATGGAAAGCTAATTTTAGTGAAATTTAGTATCTATCACACTCTTTTTTTAAAAAATGAGTCTTCTCCAGATTACCTCTTGTGAACCATCAGTGCCTCCTTCTGGGTCCATCTGACAGATGACTCAGAACCTTCAATGCAGTGCATGTCATTGAGAGAGGAACATAGGCCCCCTTGTAAACACCCTGTTCTTCGGGGGTCTTAAACACAGTCTACCAAAAGGCTCTAGGTTTGGATGGCGGTGAGCCAGCTCATCGTAGAGACAGGTGAGAAAACCTGCAGATAACACAGGCCGATGTGGACCAACACGGGAGTGTTGCCAACATGGTATTTGCTGTGGGCTTTTCTGCTGTTTGGTTTACACCAAGATAATCCTGGGGATAGTATTTTAGAACACATTTCTAAATCTATGACACCAATAAACACATCATAAAATAATTTTTGCTCTAAATATTGGCTCAGTTTTTTGTGTACCAGTCTTTAAATAGACTACTTTGCGAATTGCTTTATTTCCCCCTCATATATTATATGATAAAAGTTTAATTTAAATAGACAATCCCAAGTGTTTCTTTATTGCTGATAGTTGCAGTGAAAGGTGATTGCTTTTGACCCGAAATCAACTTTGAGAATGTACAATTCAAACAGCAGTAAGCTGAGGGACTGAAGGGCAGAAATGGAGACTTCGAAACTAGCAGTGTCTTGGACTGAGAGTCACAGCAGCCAGCTAACCTGAAGCAGATCTGTTCAAGTAAGTGCAACTACGTCTGGAGAAACACAGAGAACTACTTACAAAAAGCTGGAGGAACTTGAGGATTCTTTTGTGGGTTAGTATATAAAGTGCATTCCCACTGATGGGGTCGATAACTGGCAATCTGTGGATTTTATTTTTGATCAACGAATATACAGCATCGAAGAGGCTGCGGGAAGAGCCAGGAAAGGTGTTAGGACACTTTATGGACAAGTGGAACACCCTGGAGCATCCCTGCCTTACGGCATTTCCTTGTCTTGCTAGCACAACAAAAGGCTCATCAATTGAAAATAGTTATTTTGGAAAATTTCTGAATTACTATTATTTACAATTTGTTAATGTATATGAAAGACAAGTATAAGCAAATCTCTCGGGAGTCTTTTTTTGATGCATTCAGGATTTTATTTGAAAAACGACAACACCTAAACCTTAGGGAAACCAGCAGCCTGGTTTTTTGAACCACAGAAAAGGTCCAGCTCTGGGCTCCCAGATGGTGTGAGCAGTGATGCCCACTGTGCCTCTGTGCTGGCCCAGCAGGCCCTGCCCTGCTGACACTGCCCACCAGAAGGCTGCTGTTAACAAGATGATCAAAATAAGCATTTTACTTGTTTTCTAGTGTGGGTCACTTCCATCCGATGCCCTTGATTATGAAGGACAGGCTGGAAGACTATAGGGGGAGCAGCCTACTCGCCAAGCACCGGGACCCATGTCTAACAGACATTCATTCTATAACCTCAGTGTGGGTCAGAATTGCTGGCTGAGCTGTTTACATATGTGCTCCTGGGCACTACTGATGGGACAGAATGGGGAAAAGCCCAAGAACTGGCAACCTTAACACGCTCCCCAGCCTGTGCTGCAGGTGGCCTGAGCAGGGTGGACACGTGTTGGGTTGCCACTGATCCTCTGCACCAACAAGGTCCTTACTAGGCTGGATTTAGTATTTAACATGAAGGCATCTGGGGTCCCACTTAGACTGGAGAACATGTTTGTTTATCTGTCTGTTTCCATTTATTCATCAAGGTAATGAAACATAAAATATGAAAGCTTTCAAAGGAAAAAACTACAAGTTTACCTTGCATCTGGAGATATATTCACTAAAGGCTTAAATGTTTCTTGTAAATAAAGCTCTGTATTTATAGAAAGAAAACACGTAGTTAGTAATGCATTTGCTGTTTCTCTTTACTCCATCAATTCAAATATCCTTTAGTTTACAGATAGTAATTAAAAATCAAAACAATTTAATTTATCCACAACTACTATGTTAATTATAGTTATGGCTGTTTTACACAACCTCCAAATTGTTTTTTGGGGATGCAACCCTTGAAGAAAAATTACATAAAAAACAATTTTAACAACAAATTTTTATAAAATCAGGAAAAACAAAACACCAAAAAACCCCCAAGCGTCAGGAAATCTGATAAAATAAGAGCAATACCAGCAGAGGTCACTAGAATGCTACCAAGTTAACATCACTCTCAAGAAATGCCAGACTCTCTTACGGGTGCTGCTCTGCTTCCCACCCAGCTCCCTGCCTGTGGCCTGGGAAAGCAGTAGAGGATGGCCCAAAGCCTTGGGACCTGCACCTGTATGGGAGACCTGGAAGAAGCTCCTGGCTTCGGATCAACTCAGCTCTGGCTGTTGGAGCCACTTGAGGAGTGAGCCAGCAGATGGAAGATCTTTCTCTGTCTCTCCTTCTCTCTGTGTATCTGCCTTTCCAAGAAAAAGAAATAAATCTTAAAAAAAAATTTTTTTTTCTTTACTTTGAAAGGCAGAGTTAGGAGCAAAGGAGAGAGAGACAGATGTTCCATCCACTAGTCTACTTACCAAATGGCCACAATGGCCGGAGCTGGCCAGGCTGAAGCCAGGAGCCTGGGGCTTCTTCCAGGTTTCTCATGTGGGTGCAAGGTCCCAAACACTCACACAATCCTCCACTGAGCACCTATGCTCATTACGGGGAGCTGGACTGGAAGTGGAGGAGCTGGGTCTCGAGCTGCTCACATAGGATAACAGTGTCTCAGGTGGAGGTTTGCTACATCACAACGCCTCCCCAAACTTTGTTCTTTAAATGTTCTTAGGTTTTATCCTAGCAATTTAATGCTCCAACCCTATTTTGGCATACAGACATTTTCTTTGTAAATCTATTTACTAGATTTCTAAATAGAAGGTATTCAAGAACACCATGCATACAAGGTCACAGTGCATATCAACTTAATCCTTGGTCTAACAGTACTTGCATAGGAGAGCTTCATAAATTACATGCATAACTTACACAACTGTTTCATAATAGGCTTTATGGTTTCTGTATTAAACCAATTTGTTCAGCTTGCTTTGATATAGCCATGTAATAAATCAAATATGTTTCCTGGAAACTTTCACATCACATGGAGTTTAAAAGGCCCATGGAACTTTAGAAGCCTGGAAAGGTTGCTCAGGTGGCACACCCAGGGATAAAGGTTGTGTATCCTGTCCTGCATACCATGGTTTATAGAGCCAAACTTCTGGGTTTCGAACTCCAAGCTCTACCTTAGTGGGTCCTCTTCAAAGGCTTCTCCACGTCACACTGCCTGGGTCCCTAGAGAGGCTCTGCCCTCTCAAATTCCCTTGAAGTGTCTCATTTAGATCAACAATCTAATCTCACAATCATGGAATGAGAATTCTTAAAAAAAAAAATGGTTCCACTGCAAAAAAAGTGTTAGGACAATGAAGGGTGAACAGTAACGTGACAAATAAGAGAGCAGTCTTGAAGTTATTTCCATGTTCTTTGGCTCAAATCATCTAGTTGAAAGGTCACCTGCTCTCAGGTTTCTCCATAATTCATAAATAATTCAGTTCAGGCAAGAACAGATGCTGGCTTTCGTTAAACTTAGGATTGCCTTGGTGCGTTCTGGAGGTGACACTTCCTGGGGCAGTGTCGTAGGCTTGCTTCGCTTGTCCATCTCGCTAGCCCCAGCCCTTACACCTGCCCTTCAATGCTGCCAGGACCCCCCATGTGAACGGCATTTACAGTAGAGCAGTACACTTCCAACTAGAGTGCTCTAAGTTCCATTTTATTAACTCAGTACACAGAATGGATTTCTGACATGAAGACACGCTCTGCACAGTAAGTACAACATCTTCCCTTCATATTAAAAGGGCTTTTAGTACCCACAGTGCTTACCCCTCCAAGTTTCAATCTTATGCTCCTCTAATTCATATATCTGTACCTGAAAATAAAAATTCTTATTTACAAACATTAAAATACACAACATAGGCATAAATAATACTAGGAAAAATGCAATAAAACATAGCTTTCTAATGGCATTTTCTGTTCATAATTAGAAAATGAAGAGAAACACAGAGGAACAATATATCCTAAAGTTTTAAGAAAAACTGCTGTGGGCCTGGTGCAGTGGCTGAGTGGCTAAAGTCCTTGTCTTGAATACACTGGGATCCCATATGGGTGCTGGTTCTAATCCCAGTGGCCCGCTACCTATCTAGCTCTCTGCTCGTGGCTTGGAAAAGCAGTCAAAGACAGCCCAAAGCCTTGGTTTCTTGCACCTATGTGGGGGACCTGGAAGAGCTACTGGCTCCTGATTTCAGATTGGCTCAGCTCCAGCCATTGCAGTCAGTTGGGGATGAATCATTGGACGGAAGATCTTTTTCTCTGTTTCTCCTCCTCTATGTATATCTGACTTTCCAATAAAAATAAATAAATCTTAAAAAGAAAAAACCGCTGTATGCTGTTTTTCAGAAAGTTTGATATAATAAACTATAGCTGAGATCTGTTGTGGGGAGATTGGGCTTTTTTCCCCCCCCAAAATTTTTAAATCACACTTTTTGTTATTGTAAAAGAGATGTAATCATGAAACAGAAAAGTTGTTGTATGTAAGAAATCAGGCCTCTGAAAGAAATGCCACGTCCTTACAGTGTTTGTTGAAACCTCCTTCTTGAGCTTACAAAACCTTATGAAGAAACTCATTTTTGTATTTTATGTAGGAACTTAGTTATTGGAGAATACTGACCACGACACATAACACAGTATTAAATGGATTTATTTAATTATACCTTTTAGATTCCTGAAGTAATACTATTAAATAATTAAAGTATTTAATTCTGTTCTTTCCCAGCCTTATAAACCAACAAAAACTACAACCAAGGGGGAAGAATGCCAAGCATGGCAGTGGCTGGTGAAGGGCAGAGATGGTTTTCCATCTCTGTTAGGGAACAGTTGGACTGTGTGCCAGGGTGCTCCACTACCACCATCAGTCAGGAACAATCTTCTCCTAATTGGCAGAAAGATGTCAAAACTGAATCTCTGCAATTTAAAAATTCACATATTTGAAATTACGAAGTAGACTTCTAAGGGAGAGAGACAGAGATCTTCCTTCCATTTACTGTTCATTCCCCCAACGGCCACAACAGCCAGATCTGGGCCAGCCTGAAGTCAGGAGCCACCAGCTTCCTCCTGGTCTGACCCAGTTGGCAGGGGCATAAGCACTAGGGTTATCTTCCAATGCCTTTCCAGGAGCATTAGCAGGAAGCGGGTCTGCAAGTGTAGCAGCCGGGACTGGAACCAGCACCATGATCTGGGATCTGGTGTCACAGTCACCAGCTTAGCCCACTGTGGCCACAATGCCAGCCTGTGTGCATTCTTGTGCTGAAACTGCTGGGTAACCACACCAAGCTCTACAGAGGACATTCTCAGGCCTGCAAAGATAAATTTTATCTCTATGGGGCGGGAGGTGGAAGGGGGGGGACACACTGCTAGGTCAACTCTCTTGGTAAGAGTTGGTGGAGGGTAGGACTTGCTTTGTTCAAAGTCCTATGCAGCTTATCAACCTGCAACATACCCATTATGCTGCTCATTTCAAGCAGAGTGAAGTCAGTGAAACTTACAGAACAGCTACATAGCACATAAGTACATACAAACCTGCTAACCTACAGAATTTTGAAACATGAATAAAGAATCTGTTATGTTGTTTTTCTTAAAAATATCTTCTTCAAGCACAACTATATGATTTATGATAAAGCTGTTTGCTAGATTTGGCAGTCTTACATACTTTACATGCATTTGGAAAGACAACCACCACTACTACCAAAAAAAAAAAAAACAAAGGAAATCTTAAAACACACACACACACACCCCTCTGCACACACCCTTACACACATACACCCCCCCACACACACACACATCCTTACACATAAAACAGGCAGACAGCTCCAATTACCAAAATACTAACAGTAAGGATGCTATTAACTTACCATAGGTGATTTATAGTATCTATGTAGTATATTTATGAAATCTGTAATGGTTAGCATTCCTGAAACAAACAATTATGTGTTAAAAATAAAACAAGAACACATGAAAGGAAAATTTCAAATGACATGTTTACTCTATAAGCTTTTAAAATCTATTTGAAGATATCAAGCATAGCTTAATACACAATTATTACTTAAAACTATCATTACTGTGCTAACTATCTAACAGCTGGTACATACAGGAATTAACCAGAAAATTTCGCAAATCAAAAAAGAAAAGTTACTAATTATAATAAAATTTCAAAAATAACTAACTACATGTAGATCATTTAAAAGGCAATAAAAACCAACATATGAGAACCCTTTCCGTGAAGAACTTAACCTGGAAGGGGAGTCAGCCATAAACAGACAATTCCCACATGAGATGATGGGTAATGACGGAGGCAGCAGCAGCCCCGCCTCCCAGGATGTGTAGGCACAGACAGGATGGCACTGTAGCAGTCCCGACTGACTCTCATTTTCAGTGGCCTCGCAGTGAGTCATCACACCTCATCTGTCCTGTCAAAAGGCTTGCCCTGGGAGATGAGTAGGGCAGCCAGGAAGGCACCCACACCCTGGCTGCCTGAGGACATGGTGGCTAGCTTAAGTCTCACCAGGACAGCCTGTGTGGACTCTGGCTTAAAGCACACAGGTACCCAACAGCTGTGGGACCTCAATAAAAGGAGCTCAAAGTCCAGCGGGGTCTTACATGTCAGGGGTCTTACTAGTGGCAACCCTTGACCTAGTGCAGAAAAGAACATTCCTGAAGGCACCTAAGCCTTTCCTAGGGCATCCACAAGGACGCCGGAGGCTCTGCGTGGCAGATTCCCCATTTCACTGTTGCCCAGGCCCAGGCTGCTTACCTACAAAACTCTGCTTCTTACTCTCCCACAGCGGTGCTGCTCGGACACCGTTGGCTACCAACGCAAAGAAGGCCTTCTTAACCTAAAGGAAACCAGAAGGCAACAGCAGCTTTGAAAGGCCGCACAGGAGGAATACACACACTTTCAATGGAACAACTCAATCAAACCCACCAGTGTGCCCTGCAAGGGTAGGTTAGGTAAGTCTGATCAGCTAAAAAGAACTGAACACCATTTGTTAATTAGCAAAAATCCTCTTGTGTTATACCTAACTGAGGAATATAGGGATTGGAGATTATTTTTTGAGCCGGAAACAATGCAATTAACTTAAACTTTTTTTCCCATTGTATTTAAAGATCACATAGACACTTTATATATGTGAAACCATACAAAGTTATTAAGCTGTCTTATTTCTCCTACATGTATTTTTTTTTTAAATTTACCTTTGCCAATCCTTTATTATTATTATTTATTGCAAAGACAGAGCTAAATAAAGATAGCTGTCTTCACCAGTGACCACAATGGCCAGGGCTGGACTGGACCAGGCTGAAGCCAGGAGACAGGAGCTTCATCAGGTCTCATGCGGGTTCAGGGCCTCAAGCAGCGGGGACATCTGCTGCTGCTTTCTCAGGTTACATCAGCAGGGAGCTGGATCAGAAGTGGAGCAGTCAGGACTTGAACCAGTGCCCACATAGGATGCTGGTGTCACAGGCAGTGGCTTAACCCACTATGCCAGCCCCTTTCAGTCCTTTCTGAAGGATGATTTTGCTGGATATCCACTGTAGGCCAGTCAGGTCTTTTTCTCTTAGCTTCTTACAGCTTTTTTTTTTTTTTTTTTTTTTTTAATCTTCTGACTTTCACAGTTTGCATTGAAAAGTCCCCATTAAAAGTCAGAGAGAAGCTGAGAAATTTGTTGCCAAGCAAACTGCGCTAAGTAACACAAGGGATTTCCTTCTGCTGAAGGGTCCCAGAGCTGTGCAGGCTGGAGGAGGCACTGAGGAGCACCAGGACGGGAGCCCATGGGTGAGCGGAGATGAAACCAGGGCAATAATCGAGCAAAATACATACCAACCACAACGCACAGGGGAGAGGGTTAATGAGGTCAAAATTGTGGGATAATTTTGCATTGCTTAGCAGGTGGTAAAAATGCTTTCAGGAGATGCGAAGAATATTATAATCCATATGGTAGTTTCTAAAAGATTAGTAGAGGGATGTACAACCAAAAAGTTAATTGGGAAAAAAAATGGAATAAAAGTATTTCATTAAATCAAATGAAGAAGGAATAAAAGAATAACAAATGGGAAAAATAAATATACAGTAATGATAAACAATAATGATGCCATACTAGGCGTTCCCTGTGTGACTTGACCATAACTGTCTCAGCAGATCAAACTAAGAGAATGACATGCAGGACAGCTTTCTCTGTACGGGCTGCGCGGGACGGATCTAAATTCTGGCAGAGACTGAGTGAGGGGCTGGTGGTGTGGCACGGTGCCGTAAGCTTCTGCCTGTGATTCACATCCTTGCTACTCCCTGTTAATGAACCTAGAAAAGCAGCAGCATAGGGCCCGAGTTGGCTGGGTCTCCTGCACATGGGGAAGGCCTGTAGAGTTCCTGGCTCCTGGCTTCTGCCTTGCCCAGTATTGTCTATCTGGCCATTTGGGGAATGAATCAGCAGATGGAAGATCTGTCTGACTAGTCTTTCGAATAAATATTTTTAAAGCAATGGCAGCTAACCCTTCCAATTCCCTCAAAGTACTGCTATTACCTCAGTTAGCCAATATTCTGATACCTTATTACTCTCTCTTAAAAGCTGTATTTACTGGGGCCGGTGCAGTAATCAAGTGGCTAAGTTCTTGCCTTGCATGCACTAGGATCCCATATGGGCGCTGATTCGTGTCCTGGCTGTTCTACTTCCCATCCAGCTCCCTGCTCACAGCCTGGGAAGGGACCCTGCTCCTGCGTGGGAGACCCAAAGGAGGCTCTGGGCTTCTGGCTTCAAATTGGCTAAGTTCTGGCTGCTTTGGCCACTTGGGGAATGAACAAGTGAATGGAAGATATTTTTGTCTCTCCTTTTCTCTGTAAATCTGATTTCCAATAAAAACAAATACATTTTTTTTTTTACTTTTTAAAATTATTATCATTTATGATACAGTTCTATAGGCCCTGGGATTTCCCTTACTCCTTCCCCAAATCCCCTTCCCACACTGAATTCCCCTATATTATCACTATAGTATAGTTCTTCATAGTCATATGTCCATCATTGTAGGCATGGACAATGGCAGAGAGTCCAGCATCCTATTGTCAAGATATATTTAACAGTTTCATTGTAAGTCCATCTTTGATCTGGAAGTAGAGATGTAAACTGCATTTGTGTTCTCATATTTGGATATGACAGTCTCCATTACACAGTTACTGTTCATCCCCTTAAATGAAAAGCCACAATACAAAATCAACAATAGGAAGAAAAACAGAAATTTACAATGCCTTGAAGTTAAATAACATGCTACTGGATATGATAGTCTCCATTACAATTACTGTATATCCCCTTAAATGAAAAGTCACAAAACAAAATCAACAACAGGAAGAAAAAAAGAAATAAAAAATGCCATTAAGTTAAATAACATGCTACTGAATGGCTAATGTGTTGCTGAAGAAATGAAAAAGAAAATCGGGCCCAGCACGATAGCCTAGTGGTTTAAGTCCTTGCCTTGAACATGCTGGCATCCCATATGGGCGCGCATTCTAATCCTGGCAGCCCCACTTCCCATCCAGCTCCCTGCTTGTGGTTTGGAAAGCAGCCAAGGACAGATCAAACCCTAGGGACCCTGCACCCATGTGGGAGACCTGGAAGAAGCTCCTGGCTTCGGATCGGCTCAGCTCCAGCTGTTGCGGTTGCTTGGGGAGTGAACCATCAGACAAAAGATCTTCCTCTGTCTCTCTTCCTCTCTGTGTGTCTGCCTTTCCAATAAAAATAAACGTTTTAAAAAAAAAAGAAAAAGAAAATCAAGAATCTTGAAGGAAATTATGCTACTATATGATCTATGAATAGTGAAGAATTTAATGAAAGTGTTTTGAAGACATAAAACTAAAAAAACAAAAACAAAAACAAACAAACAAACCCCCCAAAACATCAAAATCCATGATATAGTTTCCACTGATCTTTGTTGGTGAAATATGTCTTCTGTAGGCAACAAATAGATGGGTTTTGTTCTTTTTAATCCAGTCTACTAATCTACGACATTTGATTGATGAGTCAGCTATTCATTCAGGGTTGATACGAATGGGTGCTAATTTGGTCCTGTCATTTTAGCAATGGGTGGTTCATTGATTTAGTTTTCTGTTGTTGTTTTTCTGGGATGTTCTTCTTCTTCACATTTGCCTTTGGTTTTGCTGGGCTCTATTCCTTTTCTCCATCAAGAGAACATCTTTAGTATTCTTTGCAGGGCAGGTATGGAAGAGGCATATTCTTCTAACTATCTTTACTGTGGAAGAATTTTATTTCATTTTTAAAAGACAAAGGAAAGCTTTACCGCATATGTTATCCTGGGCCGAAAATTTTTTTGCTTTTAGAATCTGGAATGTCACTCCATTCTCTTCTGGCCTGTAGAGTTTCCTGTGAGGTCTCTTGTGAGTCTGACTGACATTCCTCTATAGGTCAACTGATTTTTTTTCACGTGTACATTTAAGGATCTTTTCCTTATGTTTGATTGAAGAGAGCTCGATTATCATGTGTCATGGCGAAGGTCACTTTTGGTCAACCCTGTTGGGAGTTCCGTGCCCTCCTGGATGTTGTTTCCCAATTCTTTCTCCAAATCAGAGAAATTTTCCCTTATTATTTCATTAAATACATTTGTAAACCCAGCTTCTCTTTCTGAGCCTTCTGGGACTCCCATAATTCTTATATTTGGTCTTTTAATAGTGTTCAGTTCTTGAATAGAATACTCTTTTTATCTTGATCCACCTCTGTTTCCACTTTTTGTTTGTTTCCCCTGGTTACAGTAAATATCTTCCAATTCTGAGATTCTTTCTTCTGCTTCATTCATTCTATTTTGGAAACTCTCCACTGTACGTTTACTTTGCTCCACTGTATTCTTCATTTATGATATATCAGCTTTCATTTGATTCAGTTCCTGTGTGACACGTTCCTTAAATTTCTTGAACCCCCATATTACATGCTTCTTGGTGTTGATAAGCTTTATAACAAGTGTTTTGAATTCTGTATCCTCCATTTTCTCGATGTGTTCCTCACTTAACTCTGAGGTTGGCAAAGGCTTTTTTTTGCTCCTTTGCAGGGGAGTTTTCAGTAATATTCATTGTGCCTTTGTATCTTCTTTAGCTCTTACTCATTGTACTTCTGTTAATCAGATTCTTCTCCCTGGGGCAGGTTTCTAAGCTGTGTTACCCACAGGTCTACAATTCAATTTTACTGACTGTGATTGGTACATGGCTCTTTGTAGTCACTTGTGCCACTCCCTCCAGGGAGCTCCAGGTCTGGGTTCTTATGCTAGAGTTCCACCATGGTCTCTGTGGCCCCAGCTCCTGGCTCACCACTTAGAGAGGACAATACAGAATACGAATCATGTATGAAAGATGGAAAAGAAAACAAATGGTGAGGTGCCCTTCAGCAATACTGGCAGTCAGGGGGACAGGATGCCGCCTTCCAAACGCTTCAGGAGAAATGCTCTCCACTCCGCAGCTGTATACGGCAACCCATAAACCAAGTGTAAGTTAGGATCTCTAGGATCCCAGGTAGTGAACTCCCATGTATCTTTTTCTGGGAAGTGCTGTGGACTACATACATGTTTGTGTTTGCTTTAACAGCCTATGGGTTGCTTCTGGAGAACACGACAAGGAAGTAAGGAACAGGCATGAGAGACTGCTTTTTTAAAATTGTAAGCTTTTTTTGGTAACACTCGACATTTGAAATTATTTATAAGAAATCTGTAAATTTCTAAATTAGCCAACAGTCTGCCTTCTGTTCCAGTTACAGCATATTCCCATGGAATGCTGGTACGCTACCACTTCCTGTTACGGATACCATATGCCCACTCATTAGTCCTAAGAACAATTTAGCTCATTGCAGGAACCTGTCTGGATATTAATTATCATTAACTACTCTCTCCTGGCTTCAAGTCATCTATAAATGAGATGATGCCACTGACAAAATCAGTGTTTGTCAGTGCCCCAAAGTCATCTGGTCACCACCAGTTTCTCAACTTACATTCTCATGAAGGCAGAGCTTGCCTTAATGCAGCTCCTCTGGGGATGTGATGCCAGGGAGCTGGAGTGCCCAGGGAAGGTCAGCAGAGCTGGCAGGGAGCTGGAGTGCCCGGGGAAGGCCAGCAGAGCCGGCAGGGAGCTGGAGTGCCCGGGGAAGGCCAGCAGAGCCGGCAAGGAGTAGCAGTGCCCAGGGAAGGCCAGCAGAGCCGGCAAGGAGCAGGAGTGCCCGGGGAAGGTCAGCAGAGCTGGCAAGGAGCAGGAGTGCCCGGGGAAGGCCAGCACAGCTGGCAAGGTGAGCCAGCATAAGGATGTACCTCTGAGTCAGCCCTTGTGTGGGCAGCCCTAGGCTTGGCTCCCCTGGAACCTTCTGAGGACTGCCCAGCCTGGGCACAGGGAGTAGCAGCTGTCTGCTGGCTCCTGTCCTGCCCTGGCTAAGGAAGCCATGGGGACACAGTAAAGGCCTGAGGTGAGGTGAGAAGTAGCTGGAATATGAGGGAAGGAATGGATTTTAAAAAACGGCCCACAAGAGGTATCCACACAGGGCCCTGTGAGAGCCAAATTCACATGCTGGGCCCACATACCGTCTGCACCATGCAATGCAAGGAAAATCTTTTGGAGCCAACATTTGTATGCGTGACAGTGACATATAGACTGAGGGACTGTAAAAGCTGCCTCTAGGCTGTGCAGTGATTCTGGCTGCTTTTCCACTTGGACCTTGGGAGCCAGGAAGGTCCACCTGAAGGGCACAGTGTGGGGGAATCCCAGCAACGGAAGAATCGAGAATTGCAGGGTCACTGACGGAGGACCTGGGAGAAAAGCCCAAACTCCGGGCTCCTCTCCTGAGGAAAGAGCTCCTGGCCAACTGCCAGGCCCTGACAGAGACTGAGCAACCTGAGCCTGCCATCTGCCCTGTGAGCCAGTCCGCAGGCCTGGATGCCAGGGTTGATGGCAGCAGGAGGGGGCGGCCTAGAGCTGTCCTCCCACTCCAAGCTCAGCGCAGCTCCTGGCTAAGTGCTGGGCCCTGATAGAGACTGAGCATCCTGGCTTGCCATCTGCCCCGTGGAGCTGGTCCATAGGCTGGGATGCCGGGGTCGCGGCAGCACTCTGCTGCCAGGCCCTGCAGTGGGAGGAGGCAGCCTCAGGCCAGTGCCCCATACCCAGCCCAGAGGAGCTCCTTGTGAACCACTGACTAATGGGGAGCACGGGGCTGGGTCTACAGCCAAGGCGACTCTAGAGGACTAAAGTGGGGGCAACCCCCAGCTGCAGAACTCGAGTTGGCCAGTGGATTTTCACTCTCCTGGGACAGATCCTTCGGTTAATTCCAGCATCAAGCTTGGGGGGATTTCTCCCCAGTTTGGAGAGCAGCACCCTTCTTCCAGCTCTTGCAGCATGCCTGCTGTTTTCCTGTTGCCGCCTGTGGCTCTGCTTTCCCTGCATCCCCAGCAATGGCTGACTTCACTTCCCCGCTCTGTGGGCTCTGACATGGCATTCCCACTGGGTAACCTGCCATAGTATGTAGTGATCTGAAGACTGCCCCCTGTCTTCCCCTCCCCCCCCTAAAAAGCTAAATATGTTCTTCTTTTTAAAAGATTTACTTATTTGAAAGGCAGGAGACAGAAGAAACAGTGAGGTTGTCCATCTGCTGGCTGGAGCAGGGCTGGTCTGAAGCCAGGAGCCAGGAGCTGTTTCTGGGTCTCTCACGTGGGTTCAGGAGTATAAGCCCTTGAGCCATCCTCCACTGCCTTCCCAGGCACTTAAGTAGGGAGCTGGACCAGAAGCAGAACAGCCAGGACAAGAACTGGTGCCCATGTGGGATGCTGGCCCCGCAGGCGGCCGGCTTTACTTGCTATGCCACAACTCTAGCCCCACGGCACAAGATTCAGCCGACAATGGGGTTCAGTTACCCAGGCTCTCAGTGACGTATACCAGGCTGGTCCCCTGCTGCCTCTGTTTCCCTCCTGGATCTCTCAGCTTTCAAGGGGAGCTCACTGACGATGACTACAGTTTGTACCTGGCAGGTACTCACATCTTCCCTTTTCAAAGACAACTTTTTTTGCCTTGATCAAAACCAAACAACTCATTCCTCCCATTCCCACGGTAATACATTTTAGCTCCTTTTAATCTCAGAGCCTTTCAGGAGGTCATATGTATACAGCTCTTCTTATTTCCAAATTGATACTTCTTAAATTGGTGACCTCTGACACCCCAAAAATGTCACATTTTTCATGCATTACTCATTTGGGCTAAATTCTAAATTATAAAGAAGGTCAAGTACACAATTAGGGAAGTCAAATTAGGTACAATTAGGTACAAGTCAAATCAGTTGCCACTTATTTTTCTGTTAACAGTGACACCAAGTCAGCAGAGCAGGCACTTTAGGAAGCAACAGGCCTTCAGTGGGGGAGAATTTCTGGTTATTGTCCCACTAAAATTCAGTTACAGGTATAGAGACCATATTTCTTCAAAATGATTCCACATTTTCCCTTATGTCATCCTGTATTTGGATGCTTTCCTGTCCCTTTGGTGTCAAATAAGCAGAAAATCTTGGGGTTTTAAAAGGGAATCTGGTTACCTGCTAAAGTCGTAAGACATAACAATCCAGGTACAGAACCCGGGCGTGGGATACGCAAGAGCCCAGGTGTACCTGGATGAGATTGGGTGTGTTCAGGGTGGTTTGGCCATAGACCCCCCAGGTTTACTTGGAAGAAGGGCTGCTTGCACAGGTGTGGGAGCAAAGGCAGAACCTGGCTGCAAGGGCCCTGGGTGGACTCGAGGGCCTGGCCCCTCCGGCTTAGCCAGTGCAGTGGTGTGGAAGAGGATGGGGTAAGCAAACAGCCAAGGTCCCTGAGGTCTTCTCGGGGCTTTGTTCCCTGATGTGACCTCAGATGCCTCCAGTTTCTCTCTGAAATGCATCCTTTATAAACCACTGATCCACAAGCTCTTGGCTCGGCATCTACTTCCGGAGAACTCCAGTGAAGACACCTTTACTTGGCATGTGATCATTCAGAAGGAATGTTCACTCTTCGCAGGTATTGTACAGATGTGTGTATGTATCTAGACACGCGTATTTCATTTCATTGAATAAAGTTTGAACATTACAATGAACGTATTATTTGGGAAGTCTGATATGTGATTAGAAGTCACAATAATAAAAAGTGAACTGCAATAAGTATAATTTTCATACCAAAATTTCCAGGTTCAAATTATCCTAAAAGAATCAATAAAGTGCTCTCTTGAGAATTATTTATCATAGCATTTTCTTCTTTTAACTGTATTATTCCAAATTCTTTAGTAGACATTCTACTAAAATAATCAAGAAGATCACCAGGATATACTGAGGGAGCAGCACACTTTCACAGACTCCGACATCCGCTCGCCGGGCTGGTGTTCAAACTCCAGGCCCCTCACACACAGGCTCTGCGGATTGAGCCCCTAAATTCTAGACCTTGCATATGAAGGTTTGTGTTAAGTTTTTAAACTCGAGAATTCTAACTTCATTATTCGTAGAAAGAAGCCAGTAACAGGCACACCCTCTGTGGAAACCTGCAATGGAGACTGAGACTCCAGACAGAAGCTCAGCCCGGTGCCTGGTCCTGGCAAGGGCTCGCTTGCGGCTGCTGGTACTGCTGGAGTTAAAGGACTGTCTGTGTAATGCAGGCGTGCAGACACACGCAGCAAAGGGCCCGGCCGAGGGGCGTGCTTACCTGCAGGGTGGTATCAAAGACAACAAGCTTTGAACTGGTGGGGACGATGTCGTAACACTTGTGGGACCTCATGAATCGCATGTAAACACCACTTTCTGAGTCTTCTACTGCTGAAAGAAGAAGAAAAATACACGTATCTGTATTATAAAGAACTCCTTGGACCAGATGAAGAGCATGCACAAGAAATCTCTTGCCATTGGATTTGGGAGAAAATACGAAGTGTTTCCTCATAAGAGCAAAGACAGGGATATCCACTCTCCTTAATTCTATTCAACCCTACAATGGTGCAACATGGCAATGAAGAAATGGAGGGTTTTCAGGTTGAAAAGGGAGAAACAGGGACCAGCACTGTGGAGCAGCGGGTTAAACTGCTGCCTATGACACCAGTATCCTACATGAGCACTGGTTCGAGTCCCCATTTCCCACTCCCTGTTAATGTGCCTGGGAAAGCAGTGGAAGATGGTCCAAGTGCTGGGACCCCCGGCCCCCTATGGAGAGTTCCTGGCTTCGGCCTGGCCTGGCCTAGGCCATTGTGACCAGCTGGGGGATGAGCCAGAGGATGAAGAGCTCTCTTCTCTCTGTAACTCTGCTTTTCAAGTAAATAAATAATTTTTTTTAAAGCGAAAAAACCCAAACATTTATACAGTAAATAAGCAGGTTTAGTAAAGTCAAATATAGGGTTTACAAAGCAAAAGTAAAGCTACTGTGTGCCTATATACTAAGAATATAAAACTGGAAAATAAAATAAATGCTCTATGGAAATTGGGACCTTGATGGGGAATACATACTATAGAAAATGTAAAATAACTAGGCAAACAAGTCTTTTGTATTATTTGAATCTCTGTCAAAGTTGACAATTTAAAAAAATTATGATGCACTATGGATTTATTGCACATCTGTGAGTAACCACCTAATTACACAGAAATCTAGCAGTCGTCCTTGTCCAGCCGACACATTATGTCAAGTCTCATAAATCCACCCAGTTCTCCCCACCTCTAGGGCTACTCCCTAGATCCAATAAATACCCTCACTTCCTTATTGATCTCTGCTTCCCATACAGCTCTTTCACCACAGCCAGAAACAACTGCCGGATGCTAGTCTGTGTCTGCCAGATACACTCTGATGGCGTCCAACTGCTTTAGCAAGAAAGACAAAACCCTGAAGTCACCTCCCAGACCTGCTGCGCTACCTGCTGCTCTCTCACAAAGGCCACAGGCTCTTCCAGGGGGCCTGAAGCTACATTCCTGTCTCTCTTCTGGGCCCAGAAACTTCCTTCACTGGGTCTCAATTCAAAGACATAGAAAGTAGGGTGTGGAAACAGAATTTGAACCTGATGCTTCCTGATTCCAAAGCTAGGATCTAGGCCAGGACACTACTCGCCTCCCATCTCCTTGTTGCAATGCCTTCTATTTGTCTATTAAATCCTAACCCCTTGTGGTGGTGTACTTCCAATGACACTAGTTCCAGGAGACTTCTGATAGTTCAGTTAAGCTGACATTGATCTGTGTACACACACATACACATTTTTCTTCAAAAGGTCAAGCAATGCTGACATGGGAGGGTGGGAGAGGGAGTGAGAGAGGCAAAGAGAGGGGAAGAGAGAGAGAGATCATACTTCCCCACAGCCCCTGGAAGCTTTATTTCTTTAGGATTCTATCCCAACCAGTCATTTAAAATCTAAACAGCACAGACCTGCAGGCTGGGGGTTGGGGATGTCCTCCCTGCTCCTTGCTATGGACAGCAGAAGTCGAGGGAGGAGTGGCAGTGGCTTAAGTGAGCAGCAGCACCCCAAATAGCCTCAGTGCAGGTTTAACCCATTGTTGCTTCTGGCAGAAGATTCAGGTACAGAGAGAGGAAGATGTAGGAAAGACAGGGTAGCAGCATGAATGCAGGCAGAGGTGAGTGTGTGAGGGCAGTCCCTGGATGCGCCGTCCCTACACTCATCATGGGTAAGGGCGAGGAAGCCACGCATCTTTGTGCAGTGGGAGATAAGGCTGAGGGGCCCCAAGGGAATGGGGCCAGGGGCATCAGTGGAAGCATGCCAGTCGATGTGTTTCCGAGCCATACTGAATCCCAGTGCGCTTACATTTGATGCTGGCCAGCAGCATGGAATTCCGCCCAGCCCCTGCAGTCCTCACTGCTGCTCCTGTGCGTGCATCAGCAGGAAGCTGAGGTAGAGCTGTGACTCATACCCAGGCACCCGGAAATGTGGTGTGGGTGCCCCAAACTTTAACTCTAGCCACTGCACCCGACGCCCAATCCCTCTCGTTCAACATCCACTCAACCTCAACTGTGATCTTTCCCCACAAAGGTGGACACCTGAGGAGCTCCCCGTGGACTAAGTCTTCCAACTAATGACCACCTTTCTGTAACTCCCTCGGAAATACCTCTGGTTTCTTCATGCTACATATGAGGCAACAGACCAGGAGAAGTCACGGTATTTGCCCAGAGTCAGACGGCAAGAAAAGGAATGAAGCGGAATTTAAAGCTGCATCCCACACTCCTGTAACTCTTCTTGTTAAACTCTGCTGCTCCACTGGCCAATAACGCACTCATCCGACAAACACGGAGGCCATGCGGGCACTCTGCCCCATGCTGGGGGCAGCGATCTCAGCGTGAGCATGACGCCTTGGCCTCTGCCTGCAAAGCTCTGATGTTAGCCAATCACAGGGTCACACACGGGGTCACATGGGCTGGAGAGCAATCCTACCTAACAAAGGTGAGGAAGGAATCAAGTGTTAATTTCTTCTTTAAAAGATTTATTTATTTGTTTGTTTTTAAAGATTTATTTATTTTTATTGGAAAGTCAGATATATATATATATATATAGAAAGGAGGAGAGACAGAGAGGAAGATCTCTGTCCAATGATTCACTTCCCAAGTGACTGCAATGGCTGGAGCTGAGCCAATCTGAAGCCAGGAGCCAGGAGCTCTTCCAGGTCTCCCATATGGGTGCAGGGTCCCAAGGCTTTGGGCCATCCTCGACTGCTTTCCCAGGCCACAAGCAGGGAGCTGGATGGGAAGCAGGGCTGCTAGGATTAGAACTGGCACCCATATGGGATCCCAGTACATTCAAGGCGAGGACTCTAGCCACTAGGCCACCATGATGGGCCTTATTTTATTTTATTTTTATTTTTTTGTTGGAAAGTCAGATATACGGAGAGGAAGAAAGAGAGAGGAAGATCTTCCATCCATTGAATCACTCCCCAAGTGGCCGCAATGACCAGAGCTGAGCAGATCCAAAGCCAGGAGCCAGAGGGCTCGGGAGTTAATTTCTTTAGAATGCTCACAGCTTTTATTTCTCATGAATTATCACTATATATTTTGTTAACAGTGATTGCGTGTTTCTTTAAAAAAAAAAGATTTATTTATTTTATTGGAAAGGCAGTTATACAGAGAGGAGGAGAGATAGAGAGGAAGATCTTCCGTCCGATGATTCACTCCCCAAGTGAGCGCAATGGCCAGTACTGGGCCCATCTAAAGCCAGGAGCCAGGAACTTCTTTCCAGGTCTCCCATGCGGGTGAAGGGTCCCAAGGCTTTGGGCCGTCCTCGACTGCTTTCCCAGGCCACAAGCAGGGAGCTGGATGGGAAGTGGAGCTGCTGGGATTAGAACCGACACCCATATAGGATCCTGGTGCGTTCAAGGTGAGGACCTTAACTATTACACTATTGTGCCAGGCCCGATTGCGTATATCTAATATGCTTTCCCTTGTTGAATAACTTCTTTGAATAATTACAATCTTGTCTAGTTGAGGAATTAATTTTGTCTGTAAGTATTTATTAAATACTTTCCTAGTTTGAGTTCCTCCACAATTGACCTTGAGACAAAGAAAAGTAAGACAGGAAAGGAAACAAAAGGATCAGTATCTGTTAGCAGGCTCCAACTTCTGCACCATGAGCAGCAGCCAGGAGGGAGAGCCCTCTGAGACTGACACAGACCTCAGAGCTGTAGATCCCACTGCCTCTCTTGAATGGAGGGTGATTCCCAGTGCAAAAGTCCCAGCATCTCCGCCCACAAGCCCAGCTGCCAAAGAACACCCTAAGGTAAAGATGCTACAATGTGAGAACTTGGTTTAGACCAAGAGGATGTGGGGGAGTCAGCAAGAGCACCTGCTCCAAGCAGGATCCATTGGGCAGGGCTGCCATGCTAAGGCGGACACAGCCAAAGCGGCTCCTGTCTGCACAACGACTCTTCACCAGTGAAGACACAGGGGCTGCTCCTGTCTTCACAGCTACTCTATCCCAGTGAAGAAGACACAGGGCTGTTGTCAGTCATGAGTGCTTCCAAGGGACAAGTGTGTGGCTGATGGAGAAGAGTGGCAGTCAGGGATGGAGAAATGGATGGATGAAACATGAGTGTACTTGCATTTCTCAGAACCTTTTTTATAACAAAATGGGAGTCCATGTGTAGAAAGACATGAATGCAGACAGCTCCTACAACAGCATTATCGAAGGCTCTGATTCATGTCTGCCATCACTGCTAAGGAGAACGTTTGCATCTGTTGAAATTACTGTGGAATCCTTACAGTCTGTGCAGTGAAGGACTGTACAGACATGCCAAGACTGGGCAATCAAGTATATTTTAATCAATATTTCAATTGCAAACTGTTGCTAAATCTATATTGCTAAAATTTAAAGGGATAAGGGATGAAATCAAGATGGGAACTGGAAAAATAAAATGCAACAATCCATCTCTCTAAAAGAAAACCTTAACTTGGCTCATATATAAATCAAGACTTTTTATAAGAGAAGTATACATTATTCATACTAATATTGTTGATAATTTGGGAAATTAAATTTTGGAATACTTTACAAAACAGGAATGTTCAACTTTTTAGAATCTGGAAATATGGAAGTTTGGAGTTGGACACAGTTTTTAGTGAACCACCTTCATTTCTCTGTTGACTTTTGAGATGTTTAAACAAACACTGTATTTTGAGATTGTATTTTCAATTTACAGAGAATTTACAATGTCTAGATATCCAACACCAGGCTTCCTCTAAATGTAACAGCTAAGTTACTAGGGCACACTTGTCAGAAGCGAATAGCCAATTTGGATGCGTCACGAACTGAAGTGCCTACCAACCAGTTGGCCTTTGCCCAGGATCG